CTCACTCGCTGAATGTGAAGGAAAATTGAAGTTACACAACCCGCAGCCTCTGTAAACGGAGATAGGGAGGGCCTCGCAAAAGATGCTATTGTGTTTTGACGTACACAAGTAAACAAGTCTTGTCTAGTCTTTGTGGGTTCTGAAGTGATCTTTTAGCTTTCCAGTCTTGTTGATCTAAAATGTGCATCTGCTTTAGTTCAGGATGAAGGTACGTGCCACAGCCTGGCATCAGACTCCTAAATGGAGACTGTGTTTCATGAGTGTTTAATGTTACAGCAGTGGATTTATTATTGTATACTTTTACAGCTATTCACAATAACTTTCTAACAGTCTTCAGCATTTTTTCGGTTTTTAAATATTTTATGTTGTATGGTGCATGCTGGGATATGTCGATTTCAAGGATTCCAGCTTTTTAAGTGTGAATATTTTCTGAGTTTTATTCTTTTATTATAGTAAATATCTTTGATGTTGGATTGACTTTTAAGGGCTTGTGTTTTCCACAATTACACAGCATTTTATAGACCCTGGCGTGAATTAACGACATAATTGGTACCTTAATCAATAATACATTAGCAGCGGAAATAAATGATAGATATTGTTTTCTTTTCTTTTCTATTCACACACCTAATGTAGGCGATTTGACACTGACATTCAAAAGTTCCAGAGAACTGCGAGTCTGCATTACACGATCTGCTGAAAGATCATTTTTAATAACTAAAAGTAAATAAAGTATTAATTAGTGTTTATCATGTTATGTGCTGCTTTTAATTTGACTAAATATGAAGAAATGGAAGAGAAAAAGAGGAAAAATGTGGCTGAATAATGACTGGGTGTGACTGACATACTATATACAGTACACACACATTCGCACAACACTGACTTCTTCCCAGTTCCATCTTCAGAACCCCAAACACTGAAAACAAAATATCTTTTTTTTAGAGGAGACAGAAGTCGTATTTCTACACAAATAAAAGCAGAGATCTTATCGAGCTATCAATTTCAGACCAATGCATAAAAACCTCTTTAATGTAGCACGAGTCAACGTTATTTTGAAGGTGCCTGATAGAATCTGACCAGATACTAACAGCCTGGCCCCACCTCGCTGCTCTCACACCAAAATGAGATTGATTTTTGAACTGATTCTTGTTCAGGTCCCATAGCTTATTATAAAGATTCGGTGTCTTCCCTCACAACAGGTAACACACACACACACAGTGATCCTCTCAAGCACAAACATCGATACAGACACACACTGATAAATTGATCATTCGCACCACATATATGGGGCTTTTTTTTTGCTTAATTTCGCTGTCCTCCTCAATCCCATCCATTCCTTCGCCTTTACTTTCAACCTCTCTCTCGCTCCATCCTTTGTTCCTCACCACAGGACATTATGAGCTGCCGGCTCTCGCACCTGGTAACTACGGAAACAGCTTCTCATTAGACTACCGGAGGACTGTAGCAGGGAAGAGTCCCGTCGGGAGACTTCATCATCATAATCAGGTGCGCGCGCACACGTGTCAGGTGCGCACGCTCATTCAATAGAGCCCCCGTCCTCGCTCTTTCCTTCACTCACTTAACGCATTATCTCCCTCGAGCACTTGCCCACACGTACAGTAACAAAACACAGCAGACTTCCAGACCGGCATTACATTCAAATCGTTCACTCAACATGGCACCAATCCCACTCTAACAACATGCACGCAAACATACCAGGCGGTGGGCTGTTTAGTCAATACAAATGAGTGTAGAGTAATGTAATACAAAGGTACATTACAACACAATGCATCCATTTAGCTGCATTGAGTGGTGTGAGCGACGGCCATCCAGAACGTTTAGTGGCTAACAGAGTGAATCTGAATTGCAGCATTCAACACATAAATGATAGGATTTCATGTGTATTAGGAAACGTTGCAGCCTCAACTGTTAGCCTCGCCGCGTCTCCTCCTACCGCATCACTGCATGATATTACTAATGCTGATGAGAAACAATTAATATCTCTGAACTGGAAAGTGGCATTAAGAGCGACTGGTGGCTTTGTAAATGAATTAGTTGCCTCACTCCTCTTCTGTTTTTTAATCTACCCTCTCTGTCTCTTATTTCTGCTGCTACCTTTTCTTTCACTCTGTCCTCCGTCTATCCATCTCGGATTCTTTTTAACAGAGCTCATGTTTTTTCATTAGGTCTGGAGTGGTGTGAGAGAGAGAACTAAGAGAAGGACTGATTAGGTCTGTGGGGACGCACGTGCATGAGTGTGTGTGTGTGTGTGTGATAGATAATGTAAAGAGGGTACATGTGCTGACTTAATCAGGCAGAGTGGAAAGCATTAGATGCCACTGATTCCAGACCAGGGAGAGAAAAGGGAAGACGAGGGGATTGAGGCAAACATATGGCACAGGAAGAAAAAGGAGGGATGGGGTAAAGAGAAGGAGACAGAGAGAGAGAGAACAGAGCGATAAGGGAGTTGAAGAGAGAGAAATGAGGGAGGATGAGAGGTAGAAAGAGAGAAAACCAGATAAAAATAGAGACAAAAAGACGAGTGACCATGAGAAGAGGAGAGGAGAAAGAGATAGTCACACGAAAAAAAGATAATGAGTCATAAGAGACATGAGTGTCTCTTCATCCGGACAATTTGCAGGAATCCACACACAGCTCGACAAGCCTCCTCGCCTCGCTTTATCTCTCCTCTATTTCCTGACGTGGTCCGCAGCAGAAACAGGTCTTAGGATGTGGGTTTTTTTTTTTTTTTCTTCTAGCCAACCGTGAGCCATTATTCTGACCAGAAGAAACAAAAATACATAATATTGAGTCTAGCAATCCTCAACTGCAAGGCTCTGGCCGACACCTCAGCATCCTGCGAGCAATTACCTGCACAACAGCTGCGCAAGGAACCTGACCCGGCTAATTGACGCCGACACATTATTACAAGATAGTTAAACAACAGAGGACGGAAGTGCTCGGTGCAGGAGAAAATATAGCACAAAGTCAAAAGTCTATCCTCACTACAAGTATACTTTCAAAGCGGAGTCAAAGGGTCTTAGTGGGAACTACACTGTTCTGTATGGATGTAATTGGCATATTCTGCATAATGTAGGTAACCTAGTACAGTAGTTTGTATACAAGGCTAGCATGGAAAACAATCTTACACAATAATAATCTGATTGGGATCTTCTTTTTTAAATTGTTTTTGTATTATATTGAGCTGCGTGGTGATTTTGAGTATGGCAGTCTAATTTAGATAAAGAGTGCAACAGTCCAAAATCAGTATTGATGATTTTTTGTGGAAAGTTTCTGAATGCTCCAAGGTAGTGTATGCACATCCTAACATCTCAACAGAAAGGTTGTCCGCACACTGAATAGATAAAAGGTGATTTATTAAGAGCAATTACGCTGATTCAACATCAACAGCATTAATTGGAGACATAAAGTAGCAATAAAGTTCAAATTCTAGATTATAATTCATATATTTCATATCTCATTTTGTCTGTTACAATGTGTCTCCAGAAATAACACCTTTCCGATATGATTAGACTTTAAAGAATAGATCAACATTTTGGGAAATCCACTTGTTTGCTTTCTTGCCGAGAGTGAGACGATAGGATCAATACCATGCCCATGTCTACGAGAAATATGAAGATGATACAGCCAGCAGCTGCTTAGCTTAGCATAGCATAAACGCTGGAAGCAGGGATGAAAACCAAGCAAGGTTAACCTCACTAATAAACATGTTATATCTCCTTTTGTCAAATTTGTACAGAGACAGAAATGTGCTGTTCCTCCCTGCTTCCACTCTTTATGCTAAGCTAACTGCCTGCTATCTCTGGCTTCATTTTTAGCACATATAGGAGAGTGGTATCAATCGTCGTATCTAACTCTCCGTAATAAAGCCAATAGGCGAATTTCCCAAAATGTAATTTAAGCTGCTGATCTTAGATAGTGATTAAACATTGTATAAAGCAAACGATTATTTCATTAATGTAAAAGATAGTCTGTCATAAATGGTAAATTTAACATCTTTAGGTTTTGGACTGATTGCACAAAGTGGTTGGTGAAACAAGTAACCTGAAGAAGTTAAATAACTTCCCAGCATCCAAGTTTTCACTATTTCATGACATTTATAGACATAACGGTTGATGGATTCATCGAGAGAATAATCTGAAGATTAACTGATGATGAAAACACCCATTAGCTGCAGCCCTAGTGCATAAGGACAGGCAAACAGAGTCGGTGGTTCCCAGTTTTGAGTAATGTGTCCCTGTTGTACCTCGTGTTCAGGAAGAGCAATCATCCAGGAGTAGTAGGAGGACATCTGAGCTATTTAGCATAACTAGCTGCCACTGCAACCTGGACCCAAATAAGCAGAATGTTTTTAAATGCGTCTGTACTGTCCGTGTTCATTTGCATAACTTTCTTCTATAGGCAATCTCTCTTACATGTAGTTTTCCTCATACACACAAGGGAGGAATGAATGCTGAGGAAAAGTGATCTCATTCCCAACAGTGACCTTCTCTGTTCCTCCCTAATCTGAGGTCCATTGTTACTGGTCATCAGTTGACCTCTGTGGCCTTTGATTGAACCACAATAGACCAGAGACTTCCTGGTACCAAGGGACCAGCGTGAGAGCTGGTGGGAACCA